TATTTTTTTTTTTTTTTTCTGATCCAACAACTTTTTTTTTCCATTTACTAAAACTCATGAAACCAAGTCACAAATGTGCAGAACAGGTTCATCTTTGGAAATTACTTGTGCAATATCAAGCAAGACAACTTTTTTTCAGATAACTCAATCATCATCTCACACACATAGCAAGACTTAAAAATAGCATGCCGTTATGAATTAGATCTCATATTAAATCCACTTAAACAACATGGAAAACTTATCAGTATAATTAATTTTCAATTTTCAAATCAGAACCAGAGAAAAAACGAGAAAACAAAAAGATCAAATCTTTGACCTCATTTTGCTTGGCGGGTGCTGAAATCACTTTGCCCGACGGCGCCGCTCCCAAAAGCTTCAACTCTTTCAACCCCGCCGATGAACTTCCACCCGGAAAAACCCTTTTCCTGAACCAAACGCAAAAACAACAACCAATAAAGCGACTCATTAAAGATTACTAAAAAAATTGGAAAAAAAATGGGACGAATCGAAGCTCACTTCAAACTCCGGAGGTTGTAGCGAAAACTCGGCGCCGGCGACTTCACTGCACCCTTCATTTTGTCTTTCGTTTTCCTGCAATTAAAACACATTGAAACTCAACTTCCTTTTTCCCTTTTCCTAATATACTTGAAACGCTGAGAAAAATCCGACATTTGCGAGAGTTCCGTACGCAGGCGTGATTTCCCGATGGATAAAGATGAAAACATCTTCGAATAATAATCAGATATTTACACTGCCCACAAAGCAAATAACGAAAATATTTGTTTAGATGGGAGGCTTTTTCGTGCCATGCACATGAAACTCTCTACTGAAAAAGATTGGATAGAGAGAGAGAGAAAAAATGAAGATTACTGTGAGAGAAGACGAAGAAAAAAGGCCCAAAAGTTTCGCCACAAAAGAAGGCCCTTGCGTTTCGCGGTACATTTTGTTGTGTAATTACGTTTCTGCCACTAGAGAGTAGAGAGAAAGTGTGACGTGTGGACCGGTGGTGGGGGAAGGTGACCGGTTCATTTCGGCATGCAGTCCACGTGTGAAAATAGCCAAAAAAGAAAAAAAAAATCTTTTGTTTCTTCTCTTTGTTAATCCGAGTCGACTATTGTGTTATTGAGCTAGATTCAACTTGTTTTGTAATTCTTCGAGTTTTGACGAGCTGATCATTTTAAAGCTCGACTTAACTTGACAACACAAATACAAAAGCTCATGGTTCATTTTGCTAAAGCTCGACTTAACTTGACAACACAAATACAAAAGCTCATGGTTCATTTTGTTAAAGTTCGACTCGAAATTTAAATTAAAAATATTCTGATACCTATATATATACTCAACGCATAGTCAAGCATTCAAAGTCTCAAATGTACAAAATTGCAACTTAAGTTTGACTTAAAAGTGATGGAGACTTAATGTGCTCGAGCTCAAGTTCAACGTTGATTCGACTGAATACTTACTTGGCTTTCAATAATTGTTTAGTCTAATATAATTATAATAAAAAATAAAATAAAAATTATCCGTTCATGGAGTTTGTTTTTAGATGAAGAAAAAAAAAATAGAATATATCATAATTTACAACTAGTATTATACAGTGGAATATCAAAATAATTATTGTAGTTATTTCCAAATTATGTTAAATTTACCAATGTCCCCCACAAAAATAGGTCTAATTATACTTGTGCATAGAGAACTTGATTAGTCGGGCAGTACAATTATACTTGACTAAAAAAGGCAAAAGAACTTAAAACACTTTTATACAGTTATGATATATAAGACTGCATAACAGCACAATAAACAATATAACAACCTAACAACACTTACATTGTTACTTATGATATATATGACTACATAGTCTGCAAACAAGCCGAGCGCAAACTGCAACTAGCTCACGAGCGCTTGACTTAATGCTTGAACTCGAGCTCGAGTCCATAGTTCATATGCTCGAACGCTAAACGACCAGTTTGAATATATACAAAATAAGCTAACATTATTTGACTAAAATATTTAACTCGAACTCGAGCAAAATCTGAACCCATCACATTCAAGCCGAGCTTGTGCGAAGAGTTAACCGCCAAACTGCAAAGCAAAGGCCAAAGAGCTAACCGCCAAACAAGCAATATTTTAACCTAGCATTCACCATAAGCAGAATAACAAAATCATTATTTTTAAATTGAAACAAAAAATATAGAGTTGATATACTTNGTCCCCTTTCAGCCCTTATTCTGCAACCAGCTGTAGGTAGTAGCAGCCACAAGCTCTGCCTGAGTGTCCTCTTTCTTAACAAATGGCATAAACCCTTGGGCCCAGGTGGGCCCAAATCTTTTCTGGGCCTGGGGCAGAAACTCATGACAGCCTTTGGCCCCTGTCCTCGTGAGCCCGTCCACAAGCGTGGCCATGAAGCCCGCCAGGCTGGCCCTGAAAGTCTGTGAGCAGCTCTTGTCCCCTTCATCCACATCTTGGACTCCTCCACGGGCCAGGCAACCCACTTGGGCCCCCTCCAGGTAGGCCTTGCACGAGACCAGAATTTCACGAGCTCGGTTCACAAAGTGACCCGACACAAAAGCCTCAAAGTGCTGCAAAATAAATTCATGCCGAGGCCCGAGGTATCATATATAAAGTCCAATTTTTTTTTAAATGCTACGAGCCCTTTGAAAATGGAAGTGTCGTGAGGACTGTACGACAAAAATTTAAAATTTACCTTTCGTAACGATTAGTACTAAAATAGTAAATATTTGAATAGTGAGATGTGAAATCTTTATCTGAATTTTCTAAACAAGCTTATATCTTTGCAGGAGCGAGCAAGATTTAAGATCCTTAACTTAGTCTTTTAGCCAAACACAATATTTAACAATGTTAGTATTTATTATTGTCTTTTGACATGTTTTTCTTCTTGTTATTATTCCATCATCTTACCTTTGGAGGCCTGTTCATAGTGTACACCATACTTCGCAGGGAATAAAGGAACGTTGTCTCGTTATATTCCAAAGCCCCATTTTCTCCAGCTTTGGTGCCGCTTAACCTCGCATATCCAGGCTCGTTATAGTAAGGCTTAGCATTCAGGATAAGTCCCTGGATCGAGACCAAGACTTGCAGCATAGTCGAGACATTTGGCAGCCATTTTTCTTCTTTTCCCCCATTCCAAGTGTTGAGAAGGCTCAAACACACTTTACCACAATTGTAGAGGTTGGGATTTAGCCGAAGGCCACCCGAATGGTAATGGACTTTCTGCCGAATAATTAAAAAAACAATAAAAGTAAATCAAACCAAACTTAATCACCTGAGGAGAAAAAAAAAATGCTAAGGCATTTGCATGTTGGTAAACGTACAGGTGGGCTATTGGGGTAGTTGTTAGGGAAGCAAACATCGAAGAAAAAGAGACCATCGTGATACGGTGTGCCCTCAGCCCCCACGATCACGGCCCTCAAGAGATCAAGTCTGGACTCGTAGACCCTCACAAATATTGTATCTGTTAGTAGTAAGTGAAAAATGAGGACTCTGATTTCCAGTTTCGAGTATTGGCAAAAGAAATTTGAGAAAATATGACTTTAACGCGAAAGACGAAAATTGAAATGACATATCGATGAATAATTTTGACGAGATTGCAATATTTTGATAAGGGCAATAGTTAAAATCGACAAGATTGCATCTTAATGAATAAATATGGAAATAGATAGTTGGAAAGAAAAAACAAACAAGGACACAATGTTACACTTTCTTCTCTGATCAATGTACCAACAAGTGTAATTTCTAAAAGACAAATTTGGCGCATAAAAATATTTTAAAAGGATCACCAGGCAAATCTTTCTCAAGAATCTTCCACTCTTCCTGTATTTTCTTGGCCCAGTTCTTTGGTGGTTTCCCCTGACAACATTAACAATTAGATCACAAAAGAAAACACTAAAAAGTATGAGAAAAACAAATCATTATAAAAAGATTCATACTGAAGTTCGACAGACACCTGTTTTGCAGTACTAATTTTAGCAAAGTGGTGATCCGAAAAATCCTCAACAGTATCGAATTTTTTAAAAGCTTCAAAGTTCCTCTTAATCTCATCCAAATCCTTATGCACCACAACAGGTGTCTGTACATTCTGATCACTCGCAAAATAATTCATCCCAGGCCCATAAGCACTTGCATGCATAAATCCAGAAGGTCCCATTATACCCCGATTAATCATGCTCGGAGAAAATTGGTTAGCCATGGGAGGATATACATTTGACGAGAAGGCATCCATTTTATTATTCTTTCCAAATGAGAAGAAAGGATTATTCTGGGGTTTATAAGTATTAACCCATGCCTTCCAATCAACGCCTGGGTTTGAAAATGGAGTACCTGTTATCCACTTGCCCGCCTGGCTATTATTAGAGTCAAACGAGCTAGGGCCGAAAGCAAGACTCGGCCCATTATTTGAGTTGACTTTCAGAGTCGAACTATTTGGAATATTATTTGTAATGTTTTGAAGAGAGCTTTGCAGCCAGGGAAAGGGGACTTCGAGTTCGACCCCAGACGATAAGTTAGTGTGATCAAACTTTGATTGCAAAATCGAATTCGAATGGTCTTCATATGTCATGGTATCATAGTATGTGTTTATCCAATCTTCCTCTCCCGAAAACAAATTCGAGTTGGGTTCGTCTAAATTGATGATTTCTTTCGAGTTTTTGGTGTCACTCCCAGATCCATTGCTAGATAAATTACTGAAGTCTGCTGAAATATTGAACGGGATATCCTAGATGGGAAAAGGGTACCGAAATTATAACATGTCGGGGATAAATCGACTATGGTAGTGCAAATATAGGCAAACTGACTTGAAAATGTGTAAAAAGGTCGCTATATTCATTCACTTACCTTGCCTTTGCCTTTTATGTCAGCTTGGTCATTAAGCATGACATCTGTACAGTCTTCTTCTATATCGACATCTATTATTTCAGGAACAAAAGAAGCCTGCAAAAAGACTGGGAGATTAGAGGTTGTTTATGAAGCAACCAGTCACAAAACTTTCAGATAATAGTTAAAAAAATGGGGAGCAATGAAAGGAAATGGAAAGAGGGAGATGGCAAATAAACGGCAATAGGGAACCAAGTAAATTATTTTCTAATACGGAAACCTTTTTCCATGATAATGCATTTATGGGGACTATGCATAAAAATCAAATCTCTTCTGCCCATTTTGGAAACTATGCCCACGAATTGTTGAATTCGTAAGATTTCCAACTAAAAAATGAACATATACGAAATAATATTTTATACAGCATTTGAATTACAAAAAGACGTGATCTAAGTGACACGTCTCGCACAACCAATAATGAACAAGTTAAAACAATTTGCTACCTAGCTACGTGACTTATTACTCAATTTAAAATACTACTCTTGGAAAACAGACAAACACTGTGCATGACAGCGATTCGAAACACGTGGACTCGTGACCCTCGCAATATCCATTCAAAAGTATAAGAATCTGGTCTAATCACGACAATTTCATAATACGTCCACGTTTAAATTGACCTTATTTTTGTCCCTAGATTCTACACAAATTCATAATACGTCCACGTATAAATTCATCTCATTTTTTTCCTAGATTCCCATTCTTCACCGATCGCTAACTTCACCTCTTTCATAAATCATCAGTGTTCCCAGTTTACAACCAAACAGAAATTACTCACTTCCAATTTATCCATACAATGTAGTACAAACTATCAAATGCTCATGCAGATAGCTGATAGCTTTACCAATATAAACAAAAACCTCCATATAAGAACACAAAACGAACATGGAAACCTTAAAACTACAAGAAACAGCTGAAACTTAAAAGAATCATGCTACATTCATCAAAAAACCACCCATGCTAAGATTTAGCGGCCATATCAAAACAGTTCAATAAACAGACAACCATACATCCACATATCAAGATGTTATAATTCTCATTCATTAACTCGGGCATGAAAGGGGAAACAAAACAAGAAAAGGCGAAAACTTTAACCTCTTTACACTTGAATGAAGATGCAATTCTTTTACCAGACGCCGTCTCTTCCAAAACCTCCGCCGCCTTAAGCCCTGATGATGAGCTTCCAGCCGGAAAGACCCTTTTCCTGAATAATCGCCACCGTTTATCCACATCAACAAGAAACAAATGCCGCATTAATGAAAAAAAGAACCAAAAATTGAACTCAAATGGATCAGAAATTCAGAACCCACTTGGAATTCCGGGTGATGAACTGAGAACCAGGCGTGGGCGGCTCCATAAACCTCAGCTCCCAAAACAAAAACTCCAATAATCGAAACTAGGGCTCTACTCGAAAAACCTGGGACTTCACAAAACACTCATCGCCCTCAAAATTGACCCATTTTTACTAGTTTTCATTTCTTGTTTTTTTCCTAGTAATGAATCAAACACACAGTAAAAAAAAACAACTTCACCTTCCTTAGGAGCTCCTCCCAGTTCGTGATCCCCTGTAGATTGAGACGGTGAAGATAATAGATAAAATTGGGTATTTATACACAAATAAACACACACACAAACACAAAAATATGTGCAAAATGGAAGCTTTTTTGCCGGGCAAAGCGAAAAAAGCTCCCTTTTGGGGAGAGACAGAGAGAAAGGTGTGTGTTATTTTCACTCGGTCGAGGGGGCTTCGATTTTCAGTTCAGTGCTTTTTGTATGTTGATTTTCGGTAATAAAAAAGCACTTGAGATTTCGATATATTACATTTATGCCACTGTGATAACTTGCGCCGTTTGGACGGGTGTTGGCCCCACACACCGCATGCAGATACCACGTATGAAATAATCAAGCGTCATTTAGCAACAACTGTTTTTTTGGTAATAATAAATTTGAAAATTACAAAGTGAACCAACTTTTTAAAAAAAATATATATATATTATTATTATTGCAATATGTGAAAAGGTGGAAATTAGGATAATACTAAAATCAATAGTCAAATAAGTAAATTTAGCTTTTGTGTAAAATTATTATAATATGGAAAGAAAAGGTGGAAAATCCATATATCAATAATCGAATTACTAAATCTAGCTTTTTTCATAAAATTATTACAATATGTAAAAAAAAGGTGGGAAATCCATATATCAATAATCGAGTTAGGAAAGCTAGAATTTTTCATAAAAATATTACAATGTGTAGAAAAAGATAGATATTCCATAAATCAATAATCAAATTAGTAAATGTAGCTTTTCTCATTAAATTGTTACAATGATGTAAAAAATAAAGGTGGAGCCGTGGAGGATCCTAAATCAATAATAAAATTTCCATTTTTTTTTCCTTAAAATTATCTAATATTGTAAAAAGGTAGAATATCTTATATCAAAATCAAATATTTAAATTAAAAATCACGAACATTGAGGTATGGTGTCTAACCATCAATTGGATCCACAAGTATATTTTTAAAAAAATACATACTTATAATATAAAATATTATTTATTTATTTATTCATTTATTTACTAAAGTATACTATTCATGTGTGCAAATAAACATCTGAAATAATATAATTGTTTATATTGTCTAGCTGTTAGGGTNTATAAAACAATTATACTTTTTTTATCAATATGTGAATAAATAGTATTTTTTTATCAAATAAATATATAAAGATAATTGTTTTTATTTTTCAATTGTGTTGATGTGCCTGTAAAGAAAAAGAGTAACATCAAATGATTTATTTATTTATTTTTTTTTTTATGTTTTCATCCTCAATAAATTAATTTTGGTTGCTCACACAAAATCAAATTTATAATCCAATATATCATTGGAATTGGTCCAATCCAAACATACCACTATAACATTTTTATAATATATTTATGTTGACTAATTGGAACTCTGTCAAACTATAAAAACAACAAGACTTTTCATTCAATTATTGTTTACTAACTTGTGGCTATCCAAACTCCAAAGTAATTATTATAATTACAATAGAAGCTACCAACAAGGTGATTTGGGGCGAGTCTTACAAGGAAATTCATTATGTTTTCAACCCACCAAATCCTTTTTTGTTGAATAGTAGAATGTTGGTTGGTTTTGTCAATAACATCATTTAATTTAATAATTTAATAGTCCTGGTCTAACATTTAGGCAACCATTAACAGTTGTATTTCAAATTGAACTAAAAATAACATATACAAAAATATTACATATAGAAATATAGTATGCATTTTTGTTGAAAAACAAAAAAGGTATGATGATTCGCTTCAAATTGAAATAAAAATAACATATACAAAAATATTACATATAGAAATATAGTATGCATTTTTGTTGAAAAAGTATGACGATTCGATCCGTTTAACGATTAAGCCACGTGAGACAAAAAATTATGTTTAGTAGTACTACATGTTAGTGGAATTGAATTTGCTATTTGCTGTGTCAGATTTTAGTAATTATCCATATATTTAAAAGTAAGCAAATTGAGTGGGAAAAAAGTGTAATATTGTAATGAAATATTTTATTTAAAAAAAAGTAAAATAAAATAGTTCGCTCAATTAAAGAAAGCATACAACCAATTCATATAATAAATGGATTCGTTTACTTGGGCTAGGGATTTACTTGGGCTTTTCTAATGGATTCGTTTAGCGTGAATAAGGGATATGATAAAGGCCCATAAAACATCCAACATAAGGAAAGAAAACAGTAGTAATAATTGAGGCCCTTTTACACTTTTATCTCATTTCTTATTAAAATATAAAAAACGACATTTAAATTAAAATTATAAATAAGTAAACAAAAAGAGTATAATTTCGAATCAATAATAAAAAAAAAAAATAGACCACAAATAAACAATTCATGAAATGTGAAAGTTGTAATTTTGTATTTAAAAAACAAACCTTCATAAATATAAAAATAAAAAGAAATTTGCAAATGAATGGTGTAATTTTCTTTATGTCCTTCGATTTCAATGAAACACAATGATTGTATCCACAATGACATTAAATATGGCCATCAATTTTAAGCTTACGATGTTTAATTGATGTGTAATTGGATATCTAACTAATTTAATTCCATTCAAAACATCCATTTTTTTTTTTATTTATTTCATTCACACTTTTCAATATAATTATAAATTAAAGATTAATCATTGTTATAAATTATCCACAAAATATTATATCTACCAATATTTTTTTTAATATTTTATCATAGCACAATTAATTGTTTTTTTTATAACCAATAAAACAATTGAAAAAATATAATAGAGTTTGATACATATCCAATTATATTTAATCAAATCATAATTGATTATTTTTTAAAACAATTAACTGAGAAAAATAAAATTGAGTTGGATACATATCCAACTGCACCTGCAAATTGAATTATTATCAGAGGGTTTATGAGCCAACCCCCAAAACGGGGGAAAGAATNACCTAAATTGAAAAGGATGGAAAAAAAAAAAAGAAAAAGAAGAAGAACAAAACACACAATACTCAAAGATAAATATGGAATAATAAATTTATTCCCAATACAACTTTATGTCACAAATTTTAAAGCTATTTTTGAAAAAGAAGCCAAACAAGGCACTTCACTGGCTTAAATTCTCAGGGAATTTGTTCTTGGCTACTGGAATATGATCAGTGCCCTCTTTTTGTACAGTAGAGACACAACTGATAATCATAATAATATAATAATAATTATTATTATTAAATAAGATTATTGAATTTTATCATACGTGTCAAAGAGATAATATAGGTGTAACAAGCCGAGCGGAGTTCGAGCTCATGATATTCGAGCTTCAGACCTTACCAAGCCAAGTTAAGCCCAACTCGTTAACTAAATGAGCCAATAAACTAGCTCTTGCTTAGCTCGTTATCATTAGTAAAGAGTGAAGCTAAAGTAAAAAAATGAAATTATGTAAAATCCCTATTCATGAGACTTCACGAGCCAAACTCAGATCAACTCATTAACTAGAGATCTCAACAAGTCGAGCAAGCAACTCTAGAGACAAGGCATGTAGCAAGCACACGATCGACTATTTGGTTTAACAGCTCTAAAGACAACGAATACATCCAGTAAAGCTTAGTGAGAAGAACACGACTAAAAAATATATAACAGTAGGATTCCCCACAAGAATTAGTTTAGTGTTACAGTTTATAATTTAGTCCAAGTAGAAACTTTGAGGTTAATAATTTGAAAATATCAAGTACAATTGATAAGGAGACTAGCAAATTATAAAATAGAATAAAAACAATCCATTATCAAGATTTTTTTTTTCCCTCTTGCTAGTATTATTCTTTTTAAATCCTCAAATGTGTGATTTCTCATGCCCAAACTATATTCTCAGGGTCCACTAAACGACGTTGATTTGCACCATTTTTCGCCTATAAATAGCAACTCAAATTGTACAAAAGAAATCACAAACACACACACAAAATACATCAATTTCTAACATAAACTTTCATAGTTTTTTTTCCTGCTTCAAACACTCAAAAACTTCATCATGTCGGGCAAGTGCAGTGGCTGTGACTGCTCTGACAAGAGCCAATGCGTGTAAGTGATTGATTTATATCATTTGATTCATTTATACATATACATATTTTTTTCTCTTAAAGATAAAAATACCAAAATATTCATAATGCATAGGAACTTAAAGCATTTCATTTGATTTTTTTTTTGGTTGTTATGCTATAATAACACAAATTGACAAAAAAATTGAATGAATACATATTGCAGGAAGAAGGGGTACGCTGCTGACCTCATCGAGACTGAGCCGAGCCTTTTGTTAGTTTCTCCATCTAAAACTTCGTTTCTCATTCACTAGCACAAATCAAATAGAAAATTTACTCAAACAAAAATTAGAAAAAAACAAAGGTATAATCATATATATTTATTTTGCAGCTTCTCGGAGAATGTTGATATGGGTGTGCCGGCAGCCGGAGAAAATGGCGGCAAGTGCAAGTGCGGCAGCAGCTGCACTTGCACCAACTGCACGTGTGGCGGTCACTGAAAAAACCCCTTAAACCTGAGCAACTATTGACTACAAAAGGGTGCACCTTAATGACTATAGTCTATCATGATGAATAAACAAACTTTGTAATATTTTGGTTTTGGTGTGGGAATCAATTTAGTGATCCATTTGTGGTTCACTAAGCATATGTAACAGTTTGAAGTTTTATCTAATAAATTATGGACTAAAAAATATTGGTGTCTTTTATTTGTTATTTATCTCACCTCACAAACTTAGGAAACAAAAGTTCAGAGACAACAACAATAACAACGACCAATAATTAAATTTTAAAAGAACAACAATAACAAAGACCAAAAAAAAAATCAACAGCGATAACAAAGATAATTGATTTTTTTTTTTAGCAAAAAAGACTGAGCTTTAGCATGTATTGACTCTAATATAATGTAGAAGCCAACATCAACACAGCAAGCTCATAACAAATCTAGCAAAGTTAAAGCGATGAAAAACACACTATGAACTCAAGTAACTAAAATCCGATACTTTCTCAAGAAATTGATGGTTCTACACACGATCTCTATCACTCATAATGGTTATTTAAGAAAAATCTATGATTCTGTTTAAAACCCATTTCCCTTCAATTCAAAATTTTGTTCTACCAGGGTTTCGAACAGGTCAATATACATTTTATTTTCTTCGGATGCCTGCAAAAAAAAAATTCACTTCCCCAACCACAGGTAATACACTAATCAATAGGGACATCAACAAACTCATGCTATGTATAGTTTAAGCACAAGGCCAATCAATTTATTTGAATTCGATTGCAGCACAATCAGACCAAAGAAAATAATTCGGTTCCCATCCTTTCAAGCTGATAAGCTTCAAATTTCACTAGTATTCAAATGAGTTCTTTTTATTTTTTATTTTTCAGCATTTGGACAATGGGAGTTCATCTAACCATACCTACATAAAAAGAAAACCAACCTAGTTTTCGAAATCATAAACAACATCGAAGAAATTTAAAGTTCTTTCTTCTATCTTCGAAAGACGAAACAAACCGAACCGAATCGATTTTTTAGACGTTGAAGCCTTCCGCACGGAGGCATTTCTTGTGGGCTTCGATCCATTTCTCGCAAGCAGATTCTCCATGCTCCACAACGCATTCGTCCCTTAGCTTCTTGGTCTCAGGGCAAGCACAGCAAATCCTCTTCTTGGGCTTTGAATCTGTTCCAGGCCCAGATGATACAGATGTTGGGCCTTGGTCCCTCTGTGATTGAAGAGAGATGACAGAAGGACTCTGAATTGGTAATCCACCCATCGTCTCTGGTGAAAAGGAGAATACTGCGTATTAGAAAAGCTACCCGTAAAAAATAAATGAATATTAGCAGCAAGAGAGAAAATACGACTCAAAGATCGGCACTTTTATTTTTAAATTCAACCCCTGCAATAATATGAACAGATAATCTACCATATATATAATAGTATTATAGATAAAAATATAATTTGGTCCATTATTGAACAAGGGTCGCGAGCATTTTCCATACCTATATACTGCATAAGAAGAAATCAACGAGTCACATGCTCGGAACTACAAAGAAAGGAAGTGAATTCCCTAAATATATTATTGCTCATTCACCACTTTAACTAGGCCCGAACAAAACAAGTTCTTTTATTATTCTCAGCTCATCATCATTCATCGAGCAAATAAAATATAAATGCGCCGTCACTAACAGGAAACACATTCAGTGAAAATCTAAGCTATTTCATTACCCTATCCCCAATCTATATAACCTAAACAACACAACAGACATCAAAATAGACAAACCCCTTTCTTCAAAACCATATTTTAAGTACACCCAAAAACATCATATTATCCACATATATTCATCAAACATTTCATTACAAAATCACAAACCAATAAGATTGTAAATGCTGAGGACTCGAACCAATGATACAGAAACGACAGAAACACGATATTCCACGATTAAACTAGTTAATTACGAACTAAAACCCCATAAAAACAGCAGCATCAACATAAAAACAAGCAAAATGAATCTTATAACAAAATCTTGAAATACAATTCACGCTTGTTTTGAGTGATTACAAAGAGAAATATACTGGAAAAAAATAGGGGTCTCACCTTCCTTATCGAGCCAAAAAACAGTGAAGAGGTTCGACTCGGGGGAAAAATGGAACATAGATTTTATAATTTAATTCAGCCCTTTGTTCTGTTCAGTCACTGTATGTTTTTAGCCCACTTATTATTATTATTATTATTTTAATACGGGCTGCCCCCTGCGGCCCGCTTGGGGCTTAAACCAAGCCCAAACACCAATGTGTTTGGCTATTTTACATGTTTATTACATTTTTGGGAAAACAATTTTAAAACAAAGTATTTAAAATAATATCATCTTTATATTATTCTTAAACCATTTATAACAAAAAAAAAAATACAATTTAAAAGTTAATGATAAAAATAAACTAAACATAAATAGAAAATAAACTATAAAGTGCAGTTGTGCACGGGGGGCTCGTACACGCTCATCTGGACTCGAAATTCCTTTATGTTTTTTTCTACTCGTCCTCAACAAGCACTTCTAAAGTTCTAGCATACAAAATGCATGATTATGACTCGTTTAGTTTGTCCAAACATTTGTCAAAAATCGAATGTTTGTGAACCATGTAACTTTTGAATTTCTTGAACTCAATTATTCCACATATAACACCTAGAATTAATTTCTCATTCACCTTAGAATGATTTTGAGATTTTTTTTAGTCTTTTACGAAAAAGGAACTATAGAATTAGTACATAACAAATTTTCTTGCATTTACCAATCACGTGTCAATATCTCACGATCTTTCAATTATATACCATACAGTATGCTAATATTTTACTACATTAATTAATGAATAGGCATGTTAATTCCTGCCCACGATGGGCATGAGAGCGGATCTGGTATTGTACATTTATTTTTATGATTTCACAATAAGAATATAAATACTTTTATGTATTATTTTTATTATATAAGTACTTTTTCGAAACAATACATTGATGTCATACTAGTTATACCTAATTCAGTTCAGTGTCTCGTGGCCTTACAATTTCTACTTTTGCATGAAATTATTATTGTGCTATTTTTTGACATATTCCATTATTGAATTATTTTGTTATTAATGCGGATTTGACTGGAACAGAATTGTTGATAAAAGCCTCGTAATCATCGAGGGCCCGTGTTTGGGCTGACAGAAGTGATAACAGATTCGGCCCAACAAGTGTTTTCTAAGTAGGCCCATCTCACAAGCATTCATTATTTCATTATCAGGCATGCTCGGTTGAAGTTTACTGTTTGCTTCTTCCATCTAGTGGTTGATTGAGATGGTATATTATTATTTTTTTTCTTCAAATTAAATATTATCTCATTAAAATTAGAATTGCAACAATATTTTTGACTATAATATAGTATTTTTTTTTGTCAAACGATAGATAATATAAAAACCTTCAAAAGATTTCAACTGATTGCCCACTGGCAATATTATCGTTTTTTTTTCCTGTAAATATAAGTAATACAATTAAAATATAAAATAATATTTATATATTTTTCAGACAAAAAATAGTTTCATTCATTCAAACACATCTAACTATCAATTTTGTGAAAGTAATATTTTATTATTTTTATATCAAATCAAAATTTAATCATCACATTTTGATTTCATATCCACTCACATTCTCTAAATCGTTTTACTTTTTTTGAAAATATTCTTATCACTTTGAAATTAAAGGGGCACAATATCTTTTGACAGTGCATGTTTGACAAATAAAATAAATAACAAGAGAATACAATAATAAAATGCAGAGGTTTCGACCACGAAATACAACACTAAAATGCGGAGGCTTCGAACTTAAGTGCAGTTCTCATTTTTTTTATTATTGGATCAATACTCATACATACACACACATAAAAATACAAGTGTGTATTGATCGGTAAAAATTAAATTTTATTACAAAAAAAGACCACGATATGATAAAACGATTTGTGTTTTTATCCAAATTTCATCATTGCAAAAGCTCAAAATAATTAAATTAAGGGTGACAATAGGGCAAAAGCTTTCTAAAGCACAGCTAGTATTTATCCTTTCTATCTGTCCATTAATTAAATAGTGCATCTTTTTTTCCCCAACGAGAAAAAAATCTCTCTGCCCTTTCCACTCTCATTTTTCTGTTCTTTCTTATTATAATATTTTTTATAATTTTCTGTTTTTTTTCTCATATATAATTGATTAATTTCCCCTTTATGTGTACTCCCTGCAAATCTATCTCATTTCATCACTCAAGGACATAGGCTCTTCCATTTTCTTCTGTCTAAGAGATCTGAGATATTTTGTTCTCACGTACGTTTTCCTGTCAAAGAAGGATCTCTTCTGAAAGCTCCGCCTTCCATTTTTGCTTATTTCCGGTAATTTTCTTGTGATTGATGTTAATTATCGTCAATCAAATCGCCATCATTTTCTGGGCCTCGTTTCTTTCACTGTTCTTGAATTTTCATTTTTCCTTTCTGTTTTTTGTTGATTTGTTTTTTAGTCCCACCACTGTGATTTGTATTTGCTTGGCTTCTCGTTTGATCTGGGCTTATTTATACGAGATAAAGATTCGATCTTGTGATTTCGATGGAGCGAAATTGAGTAGTGTTGACTTTTAATTATGCGTTGTTGGGAATTGGTTTTATGGGTCGATTGAATCTTTAGATTCTGTTTCTCCTCTCTTGGGCTGTTTTTCTTAGGTGTGGTTTTGTGATTGATGTGATTGGATGTGTGTGCTTCTGAATCTTTGAGGGATTCATTTTTATTTTATAGCTTGATTTTCCATCGGAGCGTGATTTTCTATGAAATGTTCGGTTGATGTTTATGCGATTCGTGCTATGTACATAGATTTGATTCATAATGAAGGCTTGTTGTGAACGAAAGTTGTCATTTTTGGTTGTGCTGTTTTTGACTAAAGATCCATTCTTGAACTTCAAGATTGCTTGCATTCTTTATTTTCTTAGTCTGCATTAATTATTGTACCGTATTTTTCGTTGTGATTGTGAGGATTCAGAAATATCTCCCCATGGATGATAAACAATTCTCACCCGATATTATTGTTATTACACTATTATTTCAAATTTGGGAATAACATTATTATATATGGTTGCAATAGCTCCTTTTGGACATCATGGCTGTGGAGCTTGCTGATTCTAGCTTTGCGATTGTTGAGCCAAAAGGGTCCAGCGATAATAAAAAGGTGAACATAATGTTTGGCTCTCACAGTGTGGACGAGCCAGTTAAAGTCGAAAATAATTTGGCTGAGTCCAATATTCCTAAGGATGCTGTTGATGAGTGGCCCGATACAAAGTTCCACTCTTTCTATCTTGTCAGATATCGGGCAATGGAGGACCAGAATCTGAGGGCCAAAATGGATTTGGCCGAGAAAGAGCTGCAGAAGAAGAATCAGGCTCGGTTGCAGATTGTTGAAAAAATAAAAGCTAAAAGGGTAAGATTTGGTATTCTCTTTTCTTATTGGTGTAATCTGGAATTGCTTTGAATTTTCACCTTTCCAACGATAAAACGAGTAAGATATATGAGGGATATGCCATCTGTTGAGTCAGGATTTTCTTGGTAATAAAATTCGTGTAAATTGATCCATGTGACGTGACAAATGGACTTTTGTATGGGAGTTACAGAATGCGGATACATTTACTTAAGTCTTTAAAAGAACCCGTTTTTATTGGTGTAATCTGGAATTGCTTTGAATATTCACCTTTCCAAAGATAAAACAAGTAAATATGTATTAGGGGGTATGCCATCTGTTGAGTCAAGATTTTCTTGGTAATAAAATTCGAGTAAATTGATCCACGTGATGTGACAAATGGACTTCTGTATGAGTTACAGAATGCGAATACAATTACTATAGTCTTTAAAAGAACCCGTTTTTATAGGATATTTCTGTTTGGGGCTGATGAAAAGTACGATGCGAGTTCTGTTTCTTTGTTATCTCAAAATTTAGAAATGATAATGTTTCGTACTGATAAAATTAATGACGTGTTGCAGGCCGATCGAGCTCAGATTATAAGCCAGCTAAGATCACTAGGTGTTGAGAACAAACAGTTCAGGAATATAATGGATGAAAAAAGAAAAGAAATGGAACCTCTTCAGCAGGCTCTGGGCAAGCTGAGGGGTTCGGGTGGTGGAGAGAAAGGCCCAAACATATGCTCATCTGAGGAAGAACTCAATTATCTTGTAAGCTTTCATATGTATTTATTATTTTTCAAAATGCTTTTTAGTTTTTTACTTTATCTTTTTTTTCTTTGAAGTTTACAGTTTGGTTCTGTTATTTATTATCCTAATTTTATTAACTTTCTGTCTTTGAAAAATTTTCAGATTAAAAGTTTACAATACCGAATTCAGCACGAAAGCATTCCTCTCACCGAAGAGAAACAGATCCTAAGGGAAATAAAGCAACTTGAGGGCACAAGGCAAAAGGTAATTGCAAATGCTGCTGAGAGAGCAAGGATTGAAGACTCGTTGGGCGAAAAAGAGGCGATTCAAGGCCAGGTCAAAGTAAGTAGCTTCTCGTGTAAAAAAATTTCTTTTTTAGGATACAGTTTCTTAAATATTTAACACGAAATTTTATATTTGGATTCACTTGACCGATAATTTGCTCGCGGTTTTGACTTTCCAGTTGATCGGTGTTGGGCTTGATGGCGTTCGAAAGGAAAAACAGGTGATCAATGCCAAGCTTAAGCAGCTGGACGAGGAAAAACTGGCTATAGAGAAAGATATTAATGTTTTGGAGGGTGAATTAAATGCGATTACAGAAAAAAGGGATAAAATATTCGAAACCATTAAGGATATGAGGAAACAACGAGAGGAAGGGGTATGCTGATTTTATTCTATATGGTTAAATAATACGTGTCTTTCTTTGTGCAGATTTTACTCTTCCTTCCCTGGTTTATATAAGTCCTTATTATGAATTACTTGCAATTCGATGCTTTATATGTCCTATGTTCATGATTTTTTTTTAAACATTTGACCTTTTTTTTTCTCTATTTAATGCCATTTTATATTTTGCACAGCAAAATAATACCGTGGTAATAATTGAAGTTGCTTCACTCTGTTACAACTTACATGATTAGTGTCTTGTGATCCTTTGAGAAATGCAATAACTCATTTACATTTGAAAAAAAAAATGAAAAAAAAAACTCATCGTTAATGATTCATATTACAAATTGCAGAATTCCCCTTTTTACCAAAACCGCGCTCTCCTGACAAAAGCCAAAGCTCTGGCGGCCAACAAAGAAGTCGATGCGCTTAAAGAGCTTTCCGAAACAGAGGTCACATTTTACCTCAATGCTTTTGCAATTCTCAAGTCTTATATATAGTACTACACGATTTATTACGAAACCGTATAAATAAGAAAAAGAAAAAAAAAACAATTATCCTCTATTGATCTATCCAAATTTTTTGACCCGGTTTCAGGTAGACAAGTTCATGTCCCTCTGGAACTCCAACAAGTCCTTCCGAGCTGACTATGGAAAAAGGATCTTATCCTCGCTCGACATGCGCCAGCTGTCCAAACCGAAGATTGCCGAGAAAGTAGAGGCTGTGGGCCCCACGAAGGAGGAATCAGACCCCACTGAAAAGAAGGCGCAAAAACCGAACGGGGATTCTAAGAGCAAGAAAATTGAGGTAAATAGCGAGAAAAACGAGGAGGAAGAGTACTTTGTCGGAGATAAACCGAAGAAGAAGGAAGAAGTTGACGAGAAGAAGCTGAAGGAACAGAGAAGGGAAGAGGAGATTGCAAAGCGCATCCAAGCGGAGGAGAGGAAAAGGAAGCTGGCGGAGAAAGCGGCAGCTAAAGCGGCGGTCAAGGCAGAGAAGGAAGCCGAGAAGAAGCTCAAGGCAAGATTTATTTATTTATTTATTATTTTATTTTATTTATTTATTGGGTTATTACGAGAAAACGGATAGTTGCAAGGAAATGAAGCAGCTGATTTGGGAAATTTGTCGACTGTGTTACGCCCCTCATATTTTTACAGTATTACAAGTAAAACCAAACTTGTAGTCAGTTTTCATCGAAAATGTCAGAAAATATCTAGGAAAAAAACAATTTTTTTTTTTTTGGTTTTAATCCGGAATAGGGTTATATATACATTCTCAAGGGGTCATTCAAGCGTATCAAAATAGATACTATGTTTACATTTTTTTTATTTTTCATAATATAATAGTTTAGTATTTGATTTAATTCAATCTATCACTTTATTATTTATACATTAGTTATTGGGTTATTACGAGAAAACGGATAGTTGCAAGGAAAAGAATCAGCTAATTTGGGAAATTTGTGGTTACTGTGTTACGCCCCTCGTATTTTACAGTATTACAAGTAAAACCAAATTTGTAGTCAGTTTTCATTGTTAAATTTTAGGGTGGTTTTTGCAATATTTTGAAAAGCTGGGGGTGTGTAGTAGATTATATGTTGAAGTCTGATCAGGTTAAAGCTTTCTTTTTCCTTTTCCAAACACTAAACTCAGGGGTTGTTGTATTGTGAAGTTTTTCTGAAAGTGTCTGTTTTATTTTATTTTATTTTATTTTTTTAATTTTATTAGTTTAGCTAGCAAAAGATCATATTCTTTTGAAATTACAAATATATGTAAAATGAATAAATGGGTGTTTGGTAATGTTGCAAATTGCAATCTCGTCTTTTCATTCCTTATTTAAAAAAATCTTAACTAAAGATAAAGTTTGAGGGTGTTTTTGGCAACAAACACTTCTATCACGAACTTATCTTCAAATTCATATCTTTTTCTAAATCTCTAAACTTAAAAATGCTTGCTTGCCGATTCATGCAGGAGCGTGAGAAGAAGGCGAGAAAGAAGGCAGCCATTGCTCCCGAATCTGAGGAACCATTGGCTGAAGCCATTGAGGAGGTTGCAACGGAACCCGAGAAAGTTGAGGAGAAAATCGAAGCACCCCAAAAGAAAAAGGACCGAAAAGAAAATAATACTGTCAGGAGCAGAGGAGCACGATCTAGAGGACCCGAGTCTCTCCCGAAAGCAATACTCAAACGCAAGAAAGCAACAAACTATTGGCTGTGGGCTGGTCCAGCTGTTGCTTTGGTGGTCCTTCTGCTTCTGTTGGTCGGTTACAAGTATTTCAGTTGAGGTGCGGTTATGAATCAAGGAACTTTTTCGTTTTCTTTTTTTGTTGTTCTAATTTTTTGCTGTGNTTTAATCTTTTTCAGCATCCTTAGAGGAAGGGATGGACACTAAAACATCATATAACTGTTAGTAGAACGTATACAGACATATATAGGTTTTTAATGGAGAGAATTTTGTTTGGTTTATTGCTTGGTTTTGGAGATGTTACAAGTTTCTTTTTTGTTATATAATTTGGGTGTAGTTTTGAGTATTGGCTTTGCTTGTGGAGTTTTGATCTGCAGAAATGAGTTCTTTATTTTGTTTGATCTGCAGAAATCAGTCTTCTGATTGCTTCCTTGCATATAATAATTTCCACTTGGGGTTTTTTTGGGTAATCATTTTTAATTTGGAAAATGTTAGTTTGAAAAAAATTAGTATGATTAGCTAGATTTTAAGTTTATATTAATATAATATTTAAAATGAAAGAATGCAAGTTGAGTTGATGTAATATCAAGAGAGAGATGATGTAAAGTGATAGTTAGTTTAAATTATGCGAGTGAGTGAACATGAATTAATATTAATGTGATGTTAAAAATATTTGATTAATATTATTTAATTATATTGATAATATTGAGAAAAATGTGGTTGAGTTGAGTTGGATTGAGTATGGATTGGAAATTTTTATTTCCAATCATGCTCTAAATTTTAGAAAATAAAATCCAACGGTTTGTACTACTAGAAAATAAAATCTAATGGTTTCTAGTTTTTTTTATTCTTGTTAAATGTCTTCAAAATAAACAAAGAATTTTTCAACGCACGCCCCAAATCTTTCAAATATAGAGCACGAAATCACGATCATTTGACATCGAATTGAATAGCTGAGATTTTGATATGTGTAGTTTATTTTTTGAAGGAAGTTTTTAATTGGTTTAAATTATCTACTTAAATAGAGGAAACGGAACAAGTTTCTTATTATTAAGTCGGTGATCTTAAAGACCATACAATAGAACAGCCAATCAAAATTCAAGATCATCAACTGGATCTACCTAAGCTCGACTAATATTAAATACAAATTACTTAATTATATGCAAATATGTGTCATAAATTATAAAAGGCAAAAGTAAAAATGTGAAATTAAAAACCATTATGTTATTAATGATAAAGTACAAAATATGTAAATGCAATGTATATATGTGTGTGTATATGTATAACACTTTCATGAGCACTGATGTTAGTATAACAATTTATATACACCATTTTAACAATTTTTGGTGGCATGTGCTAATATATATAGAATCCAAAATATGAGTACACAGAAGTCAACTTCATCAGACTTTGCTGCCATGCCATGCCAAATAAGTATGGCCTAACCCAAACAAAAACATAAATAGATATAAATAAATTAATGAATAAATAGATAAATAGAAAGAAAAATAAAAGCAATATCATCAGTCAACAAAATTTCAAATTCCACTCCTTTATTTTATCTTTCATTAAACTTCAATTATCCATTCAAGTTATATTGTTTTGATAACAAATGTAAATTCATTAACTCAAATGCTATTGTTAGGCAATTCTAACAGTTACACAATTATACATTCAAATAGAAATGATATATTCAAAAAATTGTATGATATTTCATAGTTTAAGTATACATTTTTTTAAAAAAAAAAAATTATGATAGATCGACTAGTCTAACAGCTACGCCGTCTCGCATAAAAAAATTGTGGTTCATTTACTATATTAAATAATGTTCTTATTCCTCGAATTACATAAAAAAGAAATAGCTATTTAAAGTTAATAACTTGTACTGAATCAGTGAATTGAACTTATGTATCTGCTAGGCTTTTAGGTCAGCCTCAATTTGTACACGTCCTAGTAGTGGATTTTAATATAAATCTATATATATATATATATATAATTTGGAGTAACAACATTTAATTTTATTGTCATGCATTTAATTATATTATGCCGTCTAAAATTTCAACATTTAATATTATTTCTTTCAATTCCCATAAAAAATATTTACCATTTCTCTTATTTAATTATATTATACTGTATTTAATTATATTATCCTCCTATGAGTAATGAGTTTTATTGTAATTATAATTTCTCTAAGGCTTCGTTTGTTTTGAGGGATTTGAAATTCTTTGATTTCAAAATTTTTGAAATATAAATTTTTTTACTTGCACACTCCTTCAATGGATGTGTTGAAAATATTATAAATCAATTGTCTAGCTCGCACCAATGGTGTTGACTCGCGGTAGTGATGAACCTAAATGATCGCGGACGACGTGGTCGTGAATAGTGGATTTCAAATGAGTAGGTTTGAGGAGTCATTTAAAATCCTTCAAAATAATGACTAAAAAACATCTAGTATCAATTTGAAATCCTCTAACTTCCATTACCATCCCAACATGCATGAGGATTTGAACTTGTAAATTTAAAATCTATGGATTTCAAATCCCTTAGTAAATCCTCAAAACAAATGGAGCCTAATTTTGTCATAAAGTTTAACAATGTAAATAATTACCCTTTTTCTTATTTGTTATTTATTTTGGTTAAATAATTTAGCTTTTTTTATCTGTTTAGTTGAAAAAATATGATTTTNAGTTGCAATTGTGAATTTTTTTTTTGGTCGAAACGATAGGGATTTTATATATAAAAGCGCACAAATGTGCAAAAGAACAGCCCTCAGCTGAATACAAACAGCCAACGGCTGAATACAACCAACTAACAACTGCATAAAATGGGAGGACAGGTCATAGACCGCCTAGAGCCCGACCCCAACGGGGTAATACACGGGAACACACAAAAAGACACAAAAACACTAAAAAACGGCCCCAACAGGGTAATACCCGAGTGTCGGACCCCAACGGAGTAATAATTTTGACATTCAGGCTCACAGGGGTCAACGACCCAAACCTAAAACACAGATACAAACACTAAACAGACACAGACAAAACAAACACAAAAAGACAAGAAAAACAACCTAAAGAAAACAAAACCAACAGAGCCCTCCCCCTTCGAACAAACAATCCCGACCAGCAGTGGACGATCGACATAAGAAGGATCCCAGCTCGAGAAACCGCTACCGAAACTGCATACGGCCTATACAGTAGAAGAGCCCGAGCACCGAATCGATCCTAGAATCGACCCATTTTCATCTGATTGACCTGATGAGTCATTGGTTTTTATTGTAATTGCACTTTCCATTTATTCCCTACAAAATTCAAGAATGATTTTTTTTTTACTTTTTTTATGCTTTATTTATTTATTTTTTTGGTACTTTTTTTTGAGTGTTTTAACCCTCGTTTGATCGCACATCCTTAAAATTAAAGTAAAATATTTAATAATCAACTTAAATGAATATCAAAATCTTTTTTTTAACAAATTTGCGAGTAGAAATAAGGTGTACTTAGAATTTTTTTTATTATTTTGAAAAACTGAACATATGACTCATATTTATGTGTAGATCGACTGTTGAAACTAAACAACATGTATATTTTTCAGAAAACCATAAGAACATCTTTAAATATAACAATATTCGTTCATTTTTTGCAAAAACAAATCTATGTTTTGACCAAAAAAATCAAATTGTGTAGATATTTCAAAAAATTTGAAAGAGAATGACAAAACAAACACTAGAATAAAATTTTATATCTAATCTACTTCTGAAATCAACTGAAAACACGGTTAAAAAAAACATATGTTCTAAACAAACATTACAAATCTTGATATATCCGTACTATAATCTCCCTATTGAACCATTTTCTTATGATTCATTGAAGTATGTTAGCAAAATAGGGACAACAACTTAAAATCGAAACAAAAAATATCAAATCGACTTCTGAAATTAACTGAAAACAGGATTTTACAAAAAAATAAAAAAATCATAAATTCGTAACAAAGATTACAAATCTTGATAAATCCGGGATATAATCGTCCGATTGAACCATTTTCTTATGATTTATTGAAGCATTTTAACGATAGCTTTAAATCAAAATAAATAATTTCAGATCTTGATAGATATGTTATGTAATCGACCGATTTGGACTGCTCTACTATGATTTAGTAAAATGGAATTATAAAATTGGAATGATTTTGATGTTATATCTTTGTTTTGTTTGAAATTTTTAATTTTTCGAAAAATTTTAGAATTAATTGGAATATCTCGCCGGAAAAAGAAAGAAAAAAGCATGATTATTGCAAATATTGATAAGAAAAATGAGATCTTGGAAATTTTTACAGAGAGAAAAAACGCGTGATCCGCCGATAACAAGAGAGATATGAGTTTGAATTATGGAGTATTCGGATTATTTAAGTCGAGGGTTTTGTAACCGCTTTTTTGGTAACCGGTCATACCGATTACCTGATTTTTTTATTTGTTCAAAACAATGTGTATTGGATTCAATTTGAAAATTATTTTTTTGGGACTTTAACAAATTGGGCTCATTAAACAAATAGCCTTACTTATAATATTGGTCAAAGTCACCTTTACAAATTTTTTATAAAAAACTAAGCAATTCTCTACATTTTTTAATATGTTATCCCGCCCAATTCAGCAACAGTTTATCATGCAACTATTTCTTCAGTAGATAATTTCGACCCAAATGTTTATATTTGATGACAATTATAATAAACTCGTACATACTTTATTATTTCTTATTTGTTTGAAGGTACCGTTCAAGTTTCAGCGAAGACAGTTTCCTATCATGGTCTTCTATGCTATGACGATCAACAAGAGTCAAGATCAGTCTCTCTCACACGTCGGCTTAGTCTTTGACGAACCCTGTTTTCAGTCATGGACTATTGTACGGTTCTCTTTCTAGAGTCACGAATTGGAATGTTTGAAGATAATGATATGTGGTGATGGTGATTCCGACGATATGAAAACCATCAATATTGTATATAAAGAAGCGTTTAATAATATTTAGAACATTTTCTTAATTCATATTTTTTTCATGAATTAAATTTTGATTATGTATTTTTGTTTTTTTCTTTTTATATTGTTATTTTTTCTAAGTATTATAATACTCCGTGCAAATGCACGAGATGATTACTAGTAAAATTTGAAAGTTAATAATTTATTCAATAATGAAGTGAATTAACGGTCATAAAACAAAATGGAATTGAAGCTTTTAAGGTGTGAAATATTAGGTCACACAGGACTGTATTAACTCTCCATTTACTCAAAGCTTTTAATGCTAATGAAAGATAAATAATTTATTTAATCACTTATGCCAAGACAATATTATGAGTAATCAATAAATCAAACCAATGTCAAAAAAATACTGTTATATGACTGT